AAAGGAAAAAGGGAGGAAAGGGGAGGAGGGGAAAAGGGGGGGGGAGATTGGGGGGAATTAGGTTCGGTCTGAGGAAGAAGACCGTAGGTTAATTCCTTGACCCCAAAACCTCTACCAGCCAAGGAGCCCCCCTTGAAAAAGGGCGAGGATTGGAAATTACAGGATTGTGACTGGACCAAAAAGGGTCCAATGGCGGGTCATGTGTGATAAGGAAACACATATCCTGTTTCCCACGAATCTTACCTAACCTAACCCTTTCTTTTTTTCCAGATTTTTAGTCTTCAATACAACCATGTTACCAGCAACCAGGCCTTTGTTAATCCCCCCTGAAAATTCTTTTATAATTGTGGCCTCCAGTCTACATGTTTTCCTTTGAACTATGATTCAGTTCTTTCAAGATCAAAGCCGGGGGAAAAAATGACAGGGGAAAATTGCAGAAATTTAAATAAAGCCCCTTTTAACAGGCTTAGCACCAGTACCCCTGTACCAAGTTTTGTGCCTCTTCACCTGGGAAGATCATATAATACCCGTCAACAGGACCACGGCAAAAGTGACCTGACCTCCGGGATTTCACTCGGTAACTTTAATCCAAAGTGTTTGAAGATATTCACTAAACTTGGCATAATGACACATATAGCATTCTTCTTGCTACTGTAAAATTATCAATATTCACATAAAAAAAAACACAATTTCCCTCATTCTTTCACTAGACTGAAAAACTACACGAAGAGACAGTGACCAGAGGAATTAAAAAATATATTACTTAACGGTAAAGAAAAATCAGCCAAGAATCGAGTCGGAAGCACACTTATATCATAGAGATCATAATGTAGACACACGCCAGACTGACATAATCATGGCAAGACCATTACTCTGAAAAATTAAAATGATTTTGTCTCTTTCTTTTTTTCTCACGATTACCTCTCTTTTGCTTGACTAAGAATTTGGGGTTTTTCTACCCATATAATATATATATATATATATAATATAAATATATATATATTTATATATATTTAAAAAAATTAAAATATTATAAATAAAAATAATAATAAAAATAAAAATTTTAAAAATATTATTTATTTTAAAATATATATATAATAATATATAAATAAATTATATATATATATATATAATTTATATATATTTAATAATAATATAATATTATATATATATTATATATATATATATTAAATTTTATATAATTTAATATAATAATATAATTATAATATATACTTTTTTATATCAATGTAAAAAATATTGACTTAGATATGATAGTAATAAATTGGAAATTTCTGTTGCAAATGGACCTCTTTGCATGCATCAAGTAATGAGTATATTACATCCACCTGAGGGGTGAAGGAGAGTTTCTAAACAAGCAACTATCGGGAAAAGTTTTTTTCTCGTGTCAACATTATCAACTCGCAAAGAGCTTTTGCAAATTTTTTTTTTTTTCATTTCTGTCTCCAGACGACTTTCACATCCACTTTAAAATGGACTCGAACCAACGTCCCCTATAACATCACGCTGTATTAGTATTATGTAGTATGATATATGTAGAGCATATTTTTTGTTGGTAAAAAGGCGACATGTAACCTTAATACCCCGTGCAGCGATAACTTTAACCCATTAAAAAACCACCCGTGACAACCCCCCATCTTACCATACAACCAACACTTTTTTTTTTTCTTTAAACCAGGGAATTTTAAAGGGCCCCCACATTAACCCCAAATCACATTTCACAAACACTAAATCACTTTTGGGTTTAAACGGCTGTTTTTGGGTTTTATTTTGTATATTAAGTATATTAGAGGGAAAGCCCATAGCAAATTTCGTTTTAGTTATTCGAATTTTATTTTTTCCCTCATTAAATGGCGCTGTACAAAGCTTTACAATTTTTTTACGTTGAATTCCCTCTATTTTTTTTTAATGATTCATTTTTGCTTTTCAATACTCAAAAAAGGTTTTATTTTTTTTTAACACTGCCCATTCCCACCCAAAGGGAGGGGGCCCGAAAAAGAAAAACTTCACCATTTACTCCCTCACTGTCTTGCCAAAGGGCGTTTACACTAAAATTTTCAAAACTGCAATGCAATTGGGTATTTAGGGCCCAAAGTTGTCACAGCAATTTAAAAGGGAAAAAGCAGTGAATGTGTCGTATGGGGAGATCAGCTGACAGTGTTTCTTTTTTTTGACAGTGAAAGGAGAGAATACTGTATTTTCTTTGGCGGGGTGGGAAGCTTGTCTGTCTCCAGTGAGCGGACAGAGAAAGGCCCCAACCTTTTTGCCTTTAATTATAATTAGGGTTTTGTGGATACACAGATTCCCAAAATATTTATAGGTGTGGGATCGTGTGTTTTTTAAGTTGTGGCTCAGTGGCAGACCTTCAGCTCCAACTGAGAGGGTTCGGGTTTGATTCCGGGGGGGTGAGACGTATGGGTAAATCACCTTAGTAATAAGTTAAAATAATAAATAAAATTTTTTTCAGGGAACACAATACAGTTAATAGAATTATCATACATACACATATGTGTAGAGAAAACCCAGGATAACCCAAAAAAGTCAGAAGAGTGACTTTCACCTTCACCCGTGACCCGTCATCTGCAGTAAATAGGTACCCGAGATTTTTGGGGTCGTGTGATCAATAAAAACCCAAAAAGGGAATATACAAAACGTGGCTTTGTTGGGGTGTCCTGGGTTTAATATTCATAAAATGTCGTGTCAAACTTTGGTAAAAACCGTTTGAACAGTTTAAAGGCAGAGGCTGTTCGTTGTAAATGAGTGGGGGTTTAGGTTTACGGTATTTTTTACCTGGAGGGGTTTCGGGGGTCAACGCCCCCCCGGCCGGTCTGAACCATTCTCGTGGTGGATCGGGTCTGATCAACCAGGCGTTTCTGCTGGCCGCACGCAAACTGACGTACAAAACCCCCGCCCCGTTGGTCGGGTTTGATGAAAAGGGGAACATAATATTGTTGTCCTATTGCAAAAAGATCCCAAAACAAGCAAAAATTTCAAGTTATCTGCAAATAGTAATCCTCGGTTTTGACCCCCCCAATCCATGAAAAAAACTTACAAAATGTTTTCACAACTTTTCGTTAGTTTTTGACGCACTTCAATTTTAAAAAAAAAACACGATTCATCTGAAGGGTTCTTTTGGGTGAACGATGCAGCGAGCCAATTTAACTACTTCGGTTTCGGAAGACTGAGCTGCATCCATGGGAGGGGAAAGATAGGCCATTTAGATTCAAGAACTCAGTGATTTTACCCGAGGGTATGACATTGTCAGTATGGTTTTGTGTGGTGGTGTGGTTTGGTGGTGTGTGTGTTTTTTGGGGTTTGGGTGTGTGTGTTGTTTGAAAAGTAGCTTTTAAAAGCCCGTGATCAAGGGTTCCCCAGTGACAACGTGTAAGGCGTAGGGAAGTGCCCCTGCCTTCCCCCGAGCTAGATAAGGCACGGGTTGTAGGCGTTCACGTCGTGCGAGGTGTCAGTCTCTTGCCCCTCTGTCGGGAATTCGACTCCGCGAGGACCTGTTACAAGAAAGAATCATTTTTTCTTCTCTTTTCAGTTGAAAAAGATTCTTGGCATCGTGGGCCCGTGGGTCATCTTTGGGGTTTCTCCCGGAGGGACTAGGGCTGTTCGTGTGCTTGTGTAAAACTCTTTTTACTTGTGGACTCCTGGAAACCGCTGACGTCCGGACAGGACTTTGAGCATGTCTGCTGAGTTGTGGGCTGTTTGAATTACCCTTTGCTTTTTTGCGATGTTTTCGCTTGACAATACAAGGGCTACTACACGCCCTTTTGGGGTTGCGAGACGATATCTTTGGGCAGGGGGGCTTGGCACCACTAGAGGATGAGAGAGTTTGGGGCATGAGTGTTGGGGGCTGTTTTAGATTGATGGGGGTGGCCGTTTCCCCATTGTCTTGAGAAGAGATAGGTTGGTCCCTGAGGTTGCTTGGGGGCTTTTTTCTTTTACGAGCTTAATGTCATTGCAGTCTTCTTTGTCTGCTTCCGCATCGCCCTTTTCTTTCTGTCTTTTTCTTGTGAAGACTGCAAAGGCCGTCTTATGCGCTTGCTTGAGGCTCTTTATTCCGTTAATTCAATCTGCAGGGATCACTTTGCTTCGCTCTTGTCCCGAGATTTTGGGCGACAAAGAAGCGTTCCAGCCACTCGTTTTTCCGCGCCTTTTTGCAAGCGTCCACGTGGTTCTATCCCATGCCTTTCAAAGTCCGCAGCACTCTGTCCTTTCCTTGGGACAAGGTGCGCAGAGAAAGGTCGAGTAGCAAACACTCTACCATCTAGTCCCAATATCAGTCTCGGGATTTAAGGAGCCATTTATCGTCCAGTACTTTTACACTTCACGCCCCCCGAGCCCGCTTCTCTGGTTTAGGCTCCAGGAGACGCTTTAACCCTCAGGGGCCTTGAAGTGAAGTTTGTAAACCTCTTGGGGGTACCCGTTCGACGCTTTTTGCCAGTTAAGTACTCAGAGTAGTTGGGGTCCGTCAGATCCGCCCTTTTGCCACGGCAGCTGACCTGTCGCAGCACGTAATGGGATGCCCAGTTGCCACACATCCCGAAAGAGGGCACGGGGAAGGGTAATGAAGAGATGTTAACACCTCCAGGGCTTAACGGGTCGTAAAACAGAGTCAAGGATGACAAGTTGCAATCTTCTGACACACAATATTCAAATTATTTAAGTAAAATAAATAGGATAACTGAAATAAAATTTTTACATATTTTAAAACTAGCAAGAAGCTTTTTATGAATAATGCAATCATAATATGTCAAAAATATAAAATTTTAAAAATACTAAAACCCAAATTTACTAAAGCGAGTATGAGATTAAAAAGTGGGAAATGAAAAAACACATTTTAGTAGCAAAAAATTTTCAGCATTATCCCTTTTTAACTGCACTTAAATTAATATTGTGGTCACTTGTGCCCGTCTCATCGGGGATCTTAGATTTTTACAGAATTTCCTTGTTAGAGTCAAGTCAAGCAGATTATCACCTCTAAGTTGTTTGTTCTGTCATAAACTACATTTGAAATCAATCGTAATAAATAGGAAAACTTACCTGTGAGGTATCTGCGTGGAAACCTTCGTTCTGTACAGCATCCACAATCTCCGGGGGTGCGTAAGGCAGCCACACCGTCCGCTTCTTCAATAGCGTCCCCTTCTTGCGCGTGGACCCGAAGTCGCAGAGCTTGACGTGACTGAAGTCGCTCTTGAAGATCAAGATATTGTCCATGTTCATGTCTCGATGCACTAAGTCCTTGGAGTGCATGAAGTCCAGAGCGGAGGCTAGCTGGAGAGCGATTCTCTTGGTGTTAATCTCACCTAAGCCCATGTCGCACAAGTTGGTCGTCAGGTCTCCGAAGGGGGCGTACTCTTGGGCGAAGACATAGTACTCGCCCGCTTCGAAAGCCACGTCATAGGCATTGAGGATGTTGAGGTGGGGGCTGAGGTAGTAGTTGTAGTGGAACTCACGGAAGAAATCAAGGCGGGAGGTGGAATCTTTGTGCATGGCCTTCAGCACCACCTCGTGTCGAGTCCTACGGTGTTCCACCAGCAAGAGGCGGCCCCTCCAGCCTTCCTGGATCACGTGAAGAACCTCGTATTCATCTTCCAGCTGGATCTGGAAAGTAAACTCTTAACGTTAAGCCTGGGCAGTAAGTCAGCTTGTTCAACATTGAGAAATATGTCATGACGGCAGATCTCTTCGCTAGCAAACATGACATACATTTATTTCAGCATAATACAATGTTTGTACAGAGTGACATGATACAATGTACAGAGATAAGTTACATGATGCAATGTTTGTACGGATACGAGTGGCATGATACAATATACAATGTTTGTACAGTGACATGATACAATGCTTGTACAGAGATGAGTGACATGATACAATGTGTGTACAGAGATGCGTTACATTTGGTTGTGCACGCAGATAGCCCATAGTTATACAAGATCTTTATTCATAAATGCATTAGTCAGGTAATTTCATTCTACACGGGCCAAGGGTCCTCTAAGTCATGTCTCATGAACTCGTAATGACACTTCCCTACCGTAGGTTCGAGTCCCACCATTCTGGGACTCGTTCCCGAAGTCCATTTTAGTGACCGAGAGGAAACAAACAGGGACGTTCACTGCATTATCCTTATTAACTATCCTTACATGTAATATTATGGTTACTTGTGCCAATCTCATCGGTAATTTACGGATTATATACGAGGATTTCCTTGTTAGAATCAAGTCAAGCAGATTATTATCTCTAAGTTGTTTGTTCTGTCACAAACTGCATTATAAAGCAATCATAGACAACCTTTGTGAAGTCGCTGGAGTCCAGTTTGCCGTCAAAGTTCCAATTAGCTTGGTCAAAATTAAAATCTTTTGAAGATTATTGCGTATTAGAGCCTTGAAGCCTTGACAATTTCTTTCAAGAGTAGTCTACCTTGGTTGTTTTCTGTAGCCTAGAGAATTACTAACCCAGAATAATCCAGGAAAGCTAAGCAGTGTGGCTTATTTCCATTGGTGGCCTCAAGTCCTCTCCCTTACGATGCCACTTATAACAGCGGACTCCTGGGTACCTATTTACTGTTAGGTGGACATGGGCAGCAGGCGTTAAGATACCTGGAATTGCATCCAGATCCTTTGTGGTTGTGTGCCTAATGCTTTTCCACTGACCTATGTAGTACTCAGGTGTCCTACTGGGTCAGTGACGACACAGGGATACAATATCAAAGGTAGTGTACCTGTGGTTCCTATTTATCTATTATTTTTTGTGAAACTTTAGGCCGCTAGACCTATGCTCACACGTCCGTTGCTCCCTTCACCGCCTCCAGCCTATTTTTTTTTTTTTACCTAAGTCACACCTTTACCCACTCTTGTCCCTCCGTCTCCTTTCTCCTCTCTCTCTCTCTCTCTCTCTCTCTCTCTCTCTCTCTCTCTCTCTCTCTCTCTCTCTCTCTCTCTCTCTCTCTCTCTCTCTCTCTTTCCCTTTGAAGTCTCTCTTCATCCTCTCTCCTCTTTCTTTCCTTCCTTCTCTCTCATCTCTATTTCTGGGTCCTTCTCCTCCTCCACCTCCTCCTCTACTCCCCTCTCTTTTTTCTTCTTTCTCTCTCTCTCTCTCCTCTCTCTCTCTCTCTCTCTATCTATCTCACTCTCTTTTCCCTCTTCTTTCTCTCTTCCGTCTCATTTTTGCCGTGCAGAAATCCGCGCGTGGCCCGGGCCAAAGCTGGCGGAGGTGGCAATCAATAGTGGGCCATGCAGTGGCACTTCTGATATATGGGCCATGCAGTGGCTCCTTAATATATGGGCCATGCAGTGGCCTCCTAATATATTGGTCATGCACTGCCCCCTAACATAAGTTTCAATCAGTGGCCCTCCTGAGGTGTGGGTCACTGGCCCACCTGGACCAAGTGAAAGCGGGCCATCATCAGCATTCAACACAGACTACGTACACTCTACTCCTGCCTAATTCTTTTGTGTCCCAATCCTAAATTTTTGTCCTATTTTCCTTTTTGAAAAAGATTTCTCAAGAGTAAATTGTATCGATCGAGATTACCAGTTATAGAAAAGTGACCAAGTATACACTAGAAGGAATATAACAAGGAGGATGGCAGAAACATCACTTAGTGAACAGATCTATCACATGAACCATCAGAGTACGGAAACTCGTTTAAATTTAACAAAACTGGATATATCAGTAGTATGTTGCTGCGCTATTCTATATGATAGTTGCACAGAAACTCCAACAGTGTGTTGCTACACTATTCTATATGATAGTTATGTAGTGGCAACACCAACAGTGTGCTGCTACACTGTTCTGTATGTTAGTTGCACAGTGGGAACATCAGCAGTGTGCTGCTACACTGTTCTGTATGTTAGTTGCACAGTGGGAACATCAGCAGTGTGCTGCTACACTGTTCGTATGTTAGTTGCACAGTGGGAAATCACCAGTGTGCTGCTACACTGTTCGTATGTTAGTTGCACAGTGGGAACATCAGCATGTGCTGCTACACTGTTCTGTATGTTAGTTGCACAGTGGGAACATCACCAGTGTGCTGCTACACTGTTCTGTATGTTAGTTGCACAGTGGGAACATCACCAGTGTGCTGCTACACTGTTCTGTATGTTAGTTGCACAGTGGGAAACATCAGCAGTGTGCTGCTACACTGTTCTGTATGTTAGTTGCACAGTGGGAACATCACCAGTGTGCTGCTACACTGTTCTGTATGTTAGTTGCACAGTGGGAACATCACCAGTGTGCTGCTACACTGTTCTGTATGTTAGTTGCACAGTGGGAACAAAAGCTAGCTAATTTTTCCCTGTAATATTTCATCACTTAGGCTGGTGCTCATGCAAGGTGTTGATATATGCCAGCCTTGAGCTGGGAGACTTCAGCAGTGTCAGCCCCTGAGCCACGAGACTTCAGCAGTGTCAGCCCCTGAGCCACGAGACTTCAGCAGTGTCAGCCCCTGAGCTACGAGACTTCAGCAGTGTCAGACCCTGAGCTGGGAGACTTCAGCAGTGTCAGCCCCTGAGCCACGAGACTTAAGCAGTGTCAGCCCCTGAGCCATGAGACTTCAGCAGTGTCAGCCCCTGAGCCACGAGACTTCATCAGTGTCAGCCTCTGAGCCACGAGACTTCATCAGTGTCAGCCTCTGAGCCACGAGACTTCAGCAGTGTCAGCCCCTGAGCCACGAGACTTCAGCAGTGTCAGACCCTGAGCTACGAGACTTCAGCAGTGTCAGCCCCTGAGCCACGAGACTTCAGCAGTGTCAGCCCCTGAGCTACGAGACTTCAGCAGTGTCAGACCCTGAGCTGGGAGACTTCAGCTGTGTCAGCCCCTGAGCCACGAGACTTCAGCAGTGTCAGCCTCTGAGCCACGAGACTTCAGCAGTGTCAGCCCCTGAGCCACGAGACTTCAGCAGTGTCAGACCCTGAGCTACGAGACTTCAGCAGTGTCAGCCCCTGAGCTACGAGACTTCAGCAGTGTCAGCCCCTGAGCCACGAGACTTCAGCAGTGTCAGACCCTGAGCCATGAGACTTCAGCAGTGTCAGCCCCTGAGCCACGAGACTTCATCAGTGTCAGCCTCTGAGCCACGAGACTTCAGCAGTGTCAGCCCCTGAGCCACGAGACTTCAGCAGTGTCAGCCCCTGAGCTACGAGACTTCAGCAGTGTCAGCCCCTGAGCCACGAGACTTCAGCAGTGTCAGCCCCTGAGCTACGAGACTTCAGCAGTGTCAGACCCTGAGCTGGGAGACTTCAGCTGTGTCAGCCCCTGAGCCACGAGACTTCAGCAGTGTCAGCCCCTGAGCCACGAGACTTCAGCAGTGTCAGCCCTGAGCCACGAGACTTCAGCAGTGTCAGCCCCTGAGCCACGAGACTTCAGCAGTGTCAGCCCCTGAGCTGGGAGACTTCAGCTGTGTCAGCCCCTGAGCCACGAGACTTCAGCAGTGTCAGCCCCTGAGCCACGAGACTTCAGCAGTGTCAGCCCCTGAGCCACGAGACTTCAGCAGTGTCAGCCCCTGAGCTACGAGACTTCAGCAGTGTCAGCCCCTGAGCTACGAGACTTCAGCAGTGTCAGCCCCTGAGCCACGAGACTTCAGCAGTGTCAGACCCTGAGCCATGAGACTTCAGCAGTGTCAGACCCTGAGCCACGAGACTTCAGCAGTGTCAGCCCCTGAGCCACGAGACTTCAGCAGTGTCAGCCCCTGAGCCACGAGACTTCAGCAGTGTCAGACCCTGAGCCACGAGACTTCAGCAGTGTCAGACTCTGAGCCACGAGACTTCAGCAGTGTCAGACCCTGAGTCACGAGACTTCAGCAGTGTCAGACCCTGAGCCACGAGACTTCAGCAGTGTCAGACCCTGAGCCACGAGACTTCAGCAGTGTCAGACCCTGAGCCACGAGACTTCAGCAGTGTCAGACCCTGAGCCACGAGACTTCAGCAGTGTCAGACCCTGAGCCACGAGACTTCAGCAGTGTCAGACCCTGAGCCACGAGACTTCAGCAGTGTCAGACCCTGAGCCACGAGACTTCAGCAGTGTCAGACCCTGAGCCACGAGACTTCAGCCATGTAATAAAAACTTCATAATAGCCAGAGACTCAGTCTAACAATGTAAATATAAAATCAAAACTTCATAAATAGACCATGGTAGACCTGGTAGACCAAAGTACTGAAGGAGATCATGGTAGACCTGGTAGACCAAAGTACTGAAGGAGACCATGGTAGACCTGGTAGACCAAAGTACTGAAGGAGACCATGGTAGACCTGGTAGACCAAAGTACTGAAGGAGACCATGGTAGACCTGGTAGACCAAAGTACTGAAGAAGACCATGGTCTCTCACTGCTCACACACAAGAACGACGCTCTTGCTTCTGTCCGTCTCTAAGACAGACTTAAGACTGTCTCAAATTCTAATAACGAAAGTACCTTAGGCGATCTTATTTAAAGATATAAAAAGGAAAAGTGTTGTGTATATAACTATGGTAGAAAAGCGATTTAAAATCTGTTTCAGCCACTGGGGAAGTTGAATGATAGCTCTAGGCCTTTCGTATATATATATATATATATATATATATATATATATATATATATATATATATATATATATAGACACACACTGATATT